GCCCCGGGGCTGGAGCAGGGCAGAGTGGGAGGATCCTCCCATGAGGAGGAAGGAGCAGCAGCGACAACGTGCGATGGACTGACCCAAACCCCCATTCCCTGTCCCCCTGTGCTGGTGGGGGGGAGGAGGTAGAGAAATGGAGAGCAAAGCTGAGCCCAGGGAGAAGGTTTTTAAGATCTGGTTTTATCTCTCATTATCCTACTTTGATCTCATTGGTAGCAAATTAAATTGATTTTTCTTCCCCAAGTTCAGCCTGGTTTGCCCATGACCATACTGGGTGAGTGATCCCTCCCTGGCCTTGTCTGCACCCACAAACCTTTGCTATACTCTCTCTCCTGTCCAGCTGAGGAGGGGCAACACAGAGCAGCCCTGGTGAACACCCAGCCTCCAGCCAGGGTCAGCCCACCACGACAGGCTTCATTTGGCATTATAAGATTAGAGGGAAGAAATCCCAAACCTAAGCCACTGCACACATGTAGTAGAAATACAAACCTGCAGAATTCCCATGCGGGAAGCCATAACCATTTAAAACAGGGCGTGGTTTATTTCTAGAATTATGGAGCCATTCCTTAAAGATCTTCTCTGATCTTGCTTTCTTCTCCTGTAACTCAGCTTCCCTTTCTTTTTCTTTCTCCTAAAAATGAAAAAAACCAAGATACTTATCAACAAAGCCCTGTACAATATGCACAGAACGGTACACGAACCTTCTGCGGATTCCCAGACTGCTGAATGTATCTCAAATATGTTTTCAAATAAAAATACACCTTCCTGATAATAGAAAAGTTGCATTTTTAATCTTTAAGTCTGGAGGGTAAAAAAAAATATCAACCTTCACATTAAACCTGTGTTTCTCTGAGAAAAAGCTCTCAGAAACCTTTTGGAAGACATGTAGAGCATATTTTGAACAGAACAGGCAGATGACCAGGGCCTACTGTGTTGCAGTTAGCCTAAAGAGGCATCCGGGACAGCCATCCACACTTCCCACAGATCCATATTCGTACAACCCTATGCCAGCAGGCTTGGGGAACCATTAACCAGAAGTAAGAGTGAAAACAGTATGTTTAGGCATGGCATCTGGAGTTAAACGAAGTTTAACTGGTGGTGTGAACATGGCTTATAAGAACCTCCATAATGAAGACGTGTCCAAAAGAATGTACGTGGTTTAAATCTGTCCGACGACTGTCGCTCTCTTGGGTTTCAAGGGCCTTGTGCTGCTCTCAGCAGAGCCACAGATCAAGAGGAGTAAGCTGGAAACCAACACCACCAGTACAGAATATTTAAGCGTGTTTTAAGTATATGGGAAATTTTGAAAGACTGCAAAATTAAGGTCATTAAGGCCCGAAAATTGATCTGATACAGTTTATGGTATTTTCAAGTGAATCCAAAGAAATTATTGTATGTACTTGTGAAATACCTACAAATGTGTCCTGCACTTTAAGAACAACTGTGGTAACTGCAGGGGAAATACAGATAAATTCTTCTCACCACAATCTTCCCCCACACTTGGATACAACAGAAACGCAGGACACCTATAATATTACACACTCTACTGAAAAAACATACCGTAACGTTAATTAAATTAAAATACAACCAATCAACCTCACAGATAAGACAACAGGTCACACACTTCACAGTTTTCTGGCACAATCATCACCGATATGTGATATTTCAGATGATTCCTGCAAGCGTAGCCTCGTTACAGCATTTGTTCCAGTGAACTTAGAGGACCTCAAAGCCTGTGCTTTTGGAAGCTTACAGCAAGTAAGAGGTCTTCTGGAGCTCACTATAAAAACACAGAGGTGATTAATTAATAAGAAATAACATTAAAATCAGAACTGCTAGCATCAGATTGGTACAGACATGAACAAAAAAAAAGCTTTTAATTAGAAATATGTGCAAGTATAATAATAATGGTGGTGCTGGGAGAAGAATGTGCATAATGCTGCCTATTTTCTGTCTGGGTCAGCCTGCAATGGACTGAGCGTTGAAGGTACACTGTGCGGTTTGTATTTCCCTCCCGTACCGTGTCGCAACTGCAGTGGGTTTGCAAAGGCTATTAGCAAAAACGCCCTGATAGGCATCTTGCTTTGCTGACCAGACCTCCGTGTATTTAATCCACTAACATAAACGCACAACCTCTCTAAGTCTTTTTCATGTACAACACTGCCATTTGATAAATTCTAATCAATTTAATCAACCAATATATTTATAAGTTATAGATGAGGTAGCCCCATCCAAATAAATGATTAGTTGATGAATACCTTCTCTTTCTTCTTCTTTTCTGCCTCTTCAGCTCTCTTCTTTTTCAACCATTCTTTATACTTTTCTTCGGCCTTTTCTTGCAACTGCATTTTTTCTAGTTCCCTTGTGGCTTTTTCTGCCATTTCTTTGCTCAGCTTTCGTTCTCTTTCCTTCCTTTCCTAAACGAAACAGATCAAAGTAACAGAATAAAAACTTTTAAGTTTATTTCAATGGGAAATTCTTTTGAGGAATACAGTTAATTTTATTACATAACTACAAGTAAGATTATGATAACCCTGAAAAAAAAAAATCATATCCATCACAAGTTCTTTGAAAACATAACCTATTCATCCCTAGGTTCCAGATAAAATAGTTCAAAACATATAAACTTGTCACAAAACATGATAAAAAATTTACCTTCAGGACTCCCTCTGCTATTCTGTTTACTCCTCTGTTTTATTTACTCAGATATTTTTTAAAACACTTCAGACACTGTTCAATATTCCTGGGAAAGAAACGTGTTGAACGTTGACAACGGAGTTTTACTTTCCAGTGAATCCAGAGGAAAGTACAGCTCCAAATGGAAGTCAGGCAAGGTGCCCCCTTCTAAGAGTCACCGAGATACGTGGCTTTTCAGCACACTGAAGTGTAAATTGATACAAAAAAAGGAAGTTAACGTGAAAATCCAGTTCATGGTTTGCGGTATTTCATACATTTTTTACATTCTTTAGTCCATATGCACCCAGACTTCTACAAACGGATCTGCATATTACTCCTCCTCAAACGATCAAAGGGAAAATGAGAAAACACATTCTATGGTGGGCAAAAGAATGGTGACAGTGTGAAGTGAAATCGCTACCTGTATAATCTGGAAGATACAATACACAGAGGTGTCATCCACTACATCTTTCAGTGTGTGCATATCCACACAACTGTGTTTCAGGGACCATTCTCTAAGCGAACGAGCACATCTTGATGGCCTTTTCTTGACCTGCAGATGGAGGGACTTTCATTTGAAGACTAGCAATAACTCTCACTTCCTTTCCCTGTAACCTTTATGAAATGCGTGGGATTCTACTTATTCAGCACTACTACTGCGTAGCTTGCTTAGCTCGGAAGGGCCGGCAGACACGCCAAGGCAAAACTCTTCACCAGACAAGCTGCACACATGACTTGGGGGAGAGGCACAAGACTTGAGAGCCAACAGTTTCCACCTCACAGAAAAGTACTGCTCAGTAAAAATGCTGTGCTTTTAAGAAATCTTTTCCTTGCATGCTCCCCTAAATACTCCTCTTGAACAAAGGGGAGGTGTACTTTATTATGCTGACTCAGAATTATTATAGTTGGCAGCGTGGATGCCAAAGCCTGGAACTACAACTGCAAAGTATGATAAATCAGTGGAAAAGAGGAAATACACATTTACAAGAAGAACAGGAATATACTTCCCTTCCCATTTTACCTCTTATAAGCACAAAAAAGGCAGAAAGCTAGAGCCCTGCCCTGCTCCCCCCACGGGCCCCTCCCCCACCTTTTTTTCCCAGATTCATTGCACTTCTGGAAAATCCAATTATGCATAATGAAGCAGAAGCCATAATACTGGAGCTGGGACCAGCACAACTCTCTCAGTGTGGCCTAAAGAGGATGACTGCTGGTTCAATCCTTGTACTGCATACCAAAACTTATCAGTAACCCGGTAAAGTAGCACCATACAGAGTAAAAACTTTAGTTTATATTGCCCTGCAAAACACAAATTCATTTCTGCCCTTTATTGGATTAGAAGACGAGGCGCAAAAACATGGCCAATAAAGAGAAAATTCATTGCTTTCGGGTTAAAATATTTGCTGCTTTTTCTAAGACGACACTGGATAATAAATGAGTTTGAATCTTTATCCACACTACAGGAATTGTCTCGATAAAGAGATCATGTGAACAATAATCTTAACTTAATCTTGGCATTATTTTTTCCGAGTATGCCATAACGCTGAACTGCAGACTTCTTACCAGAAAAGGCCAGTTGACAGAACCGCTTGAGTCAGTGTGCCCCTCTCTGCGTCTGCCAACACTAGAAACATTACTACAGTCCTAATATCGGAGATAAATTATGCATTAACTCAGCGGGTTTTTCCCCCTTTCACAAGCTGTGCCTTATTAACTGTATTTACCAGAATCTCTGAGGTCGATTCTTCACCTAAACCATGATTATGCTCTCAGTACCACTGTTTTGGTACGAACTTGTCAACTGTTCTTATCTGACAACAGAGTTATTGGTGCACACACTGCACACAATTTCACAAAACAATTAGTTATTATGTTTTATGGGTTTTTTAATTTCACTTCTAATACATTCTAGTGAACATCAACTGAATCTGTTCTGCAGAGTAGAGGAAATGGTCAGATATGAATACACACCAATTTCAATGCATATTCTGGACTGGAAAACTCCAAGAACTACAGAATAACAGAAGTCATTAATACCATTTCACTACATGGTTTGTAAGGCCTGTACCTGGGATAAAATTATAATTTACAACTGAGACCAATGAAAAAAAGAATTTCATTTTGGAAATAAAAAGTTGAGATTCTGAAACGTTTTTCTACCAGTGAAGAACAGAAACAAGATTTTTCTTACCATGAAATAAACGCTTTCATGCTTAAACACACTAACAAGGAAAAATAATCTGTTTTGGCAAGTTATGCAGATCCTAAGTATCACCTGCCTGAAAAACAAGTAACCAACTCTCTTTTAAGCTTTTCCTCCCTCTTTATCTAAAATTCATCTTAATCCCTCTGATTCTGAGCTGTCCCTCTGTCCCTTCATTACCAAATATTCCCCATGTGCACCTCTCAGCAAGCCCTGTTTCGAGGCAATGATACTCTGGGACACATATAAAGCAATCACGTAGATGAGAGATATATGCTAAACCAGCAAGCTACAGCCATTGCTGGAGATGACTTCTTGTTAGCTGGCTCACGCCCATTGTACACGAAATTAAGATACAAAAGTTAGGGTCTTTCAAAGCTACAGTCTTTAGCCAAGGGTCTTATCATATGAAAAGCATGAAAATAAAGATAGGAGAAAACTGAAAAAAATGGGGCCCTTCTATACCCAAGGGAATTGTTCAATAATGGACAAAAATTATAAACAGAAAATAGACTAAAAACCTTTGTGAAGACTGTAATTAAAAGACAAGGAAGCTTCTTAAATCATGGATCTGTCAGCACAACAATTCAGGTGAGTTTAGATACTATCTAGGCTGACCCGAAGTTAAACCAGGTCCTACGTGAACAATGACATGCCATGCACACTAGCATGAAAGCCACAACTATTACTAAGTTTTACTTCCAGGGAGACATCCTTAGGAGAAGGAGAGGCCCTGCAGAACTGCAGACTTTGCAGCTGCCTAGAAATGATCCTGCAGACAATCGGAAACAATTCTCTCCCTTGAACAGCTTTTCGTTCATGAAGTCGGAGTACACTGCATTCCCAGCTGGTTTAATAACCGGTTTCATGGCAAGCTCCTGTCACCCTGGCCTTCCCAGCTTACCCCATCCTCACGACTTCCCCTCATACAAGCATATCAAAAATGCTAGGAGTGTCTATGTACATGCCCTTCGATCCTCCCTTCACTCTTCCTCCACGTATATGGGGGTGGGTAATGATACAATCTGTTTACGCTTGGTGTTGTCAGATTCGGTTTTAAAAATTCTCTTTGATGTTGTGTTCAAAACAGACATGATCTGTTCAGTAAACCACCAGTACATTTACATACACTTTAAAACATCATTACACGTATTAGACAAATTAAGGTATTGATTGTAAAACATCCAACTACTCATTGCAAGAAAGGCTTGTTCTCCCACCACCCCGCCCCAGCACGTTATTACGGAGAAAGGATACCCATCTGGCCTGTGGGTTCGCTGCCCTGGGCTGTGATCCTATCATGGCTCGGAACCTAATGAAGCCTGGGCTAGGTCAGTACTTGGAAATCCCCACCCAAAACAACTCCAGCCATCCCACAAAGCAGTGACGGTGACTCAGGAGGCAGCATCTGTCTCACTGAGTCAGTACCAAACCGAGGTTTCATCCCAACTACTAACTTCTCAAGAGCCACCAGGCCTATGTATACGTGGAGAGTCCTCCAAAGAATTTAAAATTTGAAGAAGCATCTCCCTTTCTCCCTGAAAGAAGGTAGAAATATTAAATCATTTTTTGTGCAGAAAACTGCCCAACTGCCATCGAAACAGAGACACTATGTCCAACCAGAAGATTAATCAAATATGTATTTCTGTATTTTCACATCAACGATTAAATGATCTGCATTTTCTATGCTGAAAGTCACTGAACAGAAACATTTCCGGAAGTTAACGTTGTGGTTTACATTTTTAAGACACTTCTCACAGCAATCCTTTCCCATTTACTGGCCTGGAGAAGGCGACAACATTTTTCTTTCCAAAGATGGTTCTACTTTCACAGCTGTCTGCTCTGACATCTTAGCTACCATACCCTAACATCGTTTTGTACAGACTGATGGCAAAATTATAGGAAAAGTCATAGAATCATAGAATGGTTTGGGTTGGAAGGGACCTTAAAGATCACCTAGTTCCAACCCCCCTGCCATGGGCAGGGACACCTTGCACTAGACCAGGTTGCTCAAAGCCACATCCAACCTGGCCTTGAAGACATCCAGGGATGGGGCATCCACAGCTTCTCTGGGCAACCTGTCCCAGTGCCTCACCCCCCTCTCCGGGAAGAATTTCTTCCTGATATCTAATCTAAACCTCCCTGATTTCAATTTGTACCCATTACCCCTTGTCCTGTCACTACAGGCTCTTGTAAAAAGTCCTCTCCCAGAAGTCCACACTGCCAACATCAGAACGTACATCCCAAATCCCTCATTTATCCTCTTAACAATCCTGAACATCAGTCACACGTAGCAGCCCCGGGAATCAGGGCTGTTTGGCCAACTGTTATTATTATTTCAATTTAGCCCTATTAGACATGAAAAGAACAAGAGGCTAAAAAGGAGATAAGACACTGAGCTGCAGTTGTCTACTGACAGGTAAGTTTGCAACGCTTCAGCGCTCAGGTTCACTCAGGAACGCCGACGCAGACCCTACTGCAGCCCAGTACTGGGGAATTGGAAGGTGGTTACACACAGGGACCCTTCTCTCAAACCGC